GTGCTTCTGCTGAGCCCTGAAGAAGCACCAATCAGCTGGAATGTTGCAGCATCTCCAGGGTTTTGTGATTTACATTCAGATGCTTGGCAACTGATTCATATTTATGACGGTCACAGTGTCACAGGATCATGTGAAGTGACCAAAACCTGCTGCAACCACCCAGCAGGCGGGGGGGGGGGAAATAAAAACCAAACACCCCCCCACCCCACCCCCACTGCCAATCCCCAACAGAAATGCTCACAACAATGAAAACCTCGGACAGGAGGAAGAGCGCGGCCGGGCGGGCAGGCAGGTGTCTTGCTTGGCTGTGGCTTGGGGGGGCACTTTTTTTCAGTGCCGTTGTAGCTTTGAACAGTCACTAAGTGAACTGTTGTAAGTCGAGGACTACCTGTACTTTATCACTTTTTTCCTTTTTTTGGTCATCAAGTTTTTGACCCCTTGCTAGGCGACTGGTGGTACTCGGATATTGCCATATCCTAAAAGTGGTACAATGGGTGAAAAGGTTGAAAAGCCCTGCCCTAATCATCTTTGTTGCTCTTCTCTGTACTCTTTCTAGAGTCTCAACATCTTTTTTACATTGTGGTGACCAAAACTGGATGCAGTATTCCAAGTGTGGCCTTACCAAGGCATTGTAAAATGGTATTAATACTTCACGTGATCTTGATTCTACCCCTCTGTTAATGCAGCCTAGCACTGATTTGGCCTTTTTGGCAGCTGCAGCACACTGCTGGCTCCTATTTAGGTGATTGTCCATAAATCCTTCCATTCCCCATCATCCAGTCAGAGCTGAAGAAGCTCTGAGGAGCGAAATGTCTTCAAAGAAGAACCAGAAAGTCCAGTTGCGTCCTGAAAAAGAACCTTTGGGACAACCATGACCTTGAGGACTGAGAATCTCCATAGATCTCCCTAGATTAGGATATGGAGCAAAACTGGTTAGGGAGGTATTTGAAGAAATAATGTCTCTCTCACCTGATGCTTTTCATCCGCTGCTTGGTTCAAGAGGAAGCCTTCGGCCAGGGCTACAGCCTGAGAACTGGTCTCTGCTCCACATTCTCTTACCCAGTTGGCCATCTCCAAGGGAAGGTCAGTGAGAAAATGCTCTAGGACCACCATATCCAGCATCTGAGCCTTAGTGTTTCTTTCTGGTTGCAGCCACTCAAGGCAAAGGCGGTGGAGGCAGCTGCAAAGTTCTCGGGGTCCTTGGTTCTCCCGGTAGAAGAATCTCCTGAACTGCTGGGGTTGGACTTTCCAAGAGAAGAGTCCTTCTACCTGGATCTTCTGGCTGAAGTCGCCCTGGGCATCATGAATGAGGTCCTTGGCTTCCCACGTCTCTCCAGGCTCCCCCAGAGACCCAAAGTCTTTGAAGGGCTCTTGTGAATCTGCAGAGGTGTTTTCTCTGCGAACGAGCTGGTGAGTCTCCATCACGGCCCTTTAGGAGAGCACTTGGAGCTCCCACTTTTGTCTTTAACTGCAAGGAAGAAAACCTCAAGGTCAACCTGTTGCTCTTCCCTCTTTTACATCCCTCCCCCCCCACAACTTAGCAGAAGGGATGTTCCCCAAGGAGTCCCACACTTGGGTCACAGTGTGTCCTCTTCCCAAAGGGGGCAGTCAGAGCCCTTCCCTGCTCCCCAAGGTTTCCCTTATTCCTCTGCAGATATTCCAAGATGGGTCTCTCCTACAGCCTCCCACCGGGGGTCCCCCAGCTCCCCCCCTCCTCCCAAGGGCAGCTGATGTAGCCAAGGGACAGTTCTCCAAAGCTTTGAATAAACCCGGTTGTTCACAAAGGGGCAACCACAAGCCTGATTTTTTTTGGGGGGGGGGGACAGCCTATCCCAAAAGGGCGGGCTTTTTCCAGAGCAGCCCCTCCTCTCCGGGGTCTGCAAGCAGGGATTCCCTGAAAAGAGGGGGGGGTCCCCTTAAAAAGGAGATGGGGAATCCTCATCAGACAGATCCTCTATGCATACATAGCAGCCTGCTCGGGTTGAGCGACGCTGCACCCAGCGCAGATGCTGCGATCCCTGTCCTTGCGCTTGCAAAAGATCCGCGCTTGGACGCTGCGCTCTCTCTCTCTCTCTCCGCCACATCACTTATAGAGTTAACGGGAGTGAGTGCTGCTTCCTAGAGGGGCAAATCCCCGGGCAATTCCTCCTCAAAGAATTCCACCCTCCCTCCCACTCAGCGAGCTGCGATAAGGGACTGGGGGGGGGGGGGATTATCTCGCGCATGCTCAGTTGCCGTCCAAAGCGGGAATCGGCCAGGGGCGCAATGTTAAAAGGACGGAGAGAGCGCCTCCTGGTGGCTGTAGCTGGGCGTGCAGAGAAAAGTCCGCTGAAGGGTGCAAATAGGAATGGGAAAATGTCTGTGGAGATTCTCAGCCATCCAGGTCATGGCTGTCCTAAAGGTGGTTTTTTTTTCCCAGGAGGCAACTGGACTTTCTTTCTTTTTTTCTCTCTTTGAAGAAGTTTCGCTTCTCATCCAAGAAGGATTTACACCTTGCAGCCAGCTGGTGATTTGCACTACTCAGGTGACCCTGAGGACACAGGAAAACTTCAAAATGGACTCAACAACTCTCTGAATTAAAGAATGCAAATGACCAGCTGTCTGCAAGGAATATAAATCCTTCTATTCCCCACCATCCAGTCAGAGCTGAAGAAGCTTCTTGGATGAGAAGTGAAACGTCTTCAAAGAAAAACAAGAAAGTCCAGTTGCCTCCTGAAAAAGCACCTTTGGGACAACCGTACCCGGATGACTGAGAATCTCCATAGACATTTAGCTATGCACTTTGGGAGGAACACCCTTCGAATGATGCGGGAGTATGAACGGATTTCCAGAAAGCATTGCAGACTACAGGAACCATTTATGCTTCAGAGTTTGAGATGCAGACAACACAAACTCATCCCCAACAGTCTGCACTTGTCTTCAACAGTAAAGGGACCCAGAGCAGAAAACATCCTGCAGCCAGGAAGGCTCCACACACATTTGCACAATTCAAGTGACCCTGAGGACACAATTAAACCTCCAAATGGCCTCAATGACTCTCTAAATGAGTGCAAATGACCAGCTGTCTGCAAGGTGTATAAATCCTTCCATTCACCACCATCCAGGCAGAGCTGAAGAAGCTTCTTGGATGAGAAGCGAAACGTCTTCAGAGAAAAAACAGAAGCTCCTTAGCTGAGAAGCAAAACATCTTAAGAGAAAAACAAGAAAGTCCACTTGCCTCCTAAAAAAGCACCTTTGGGACAGGAATGGGGAAGATTCAAGAATTAAGGATGATGGCAAAAACATTAGCAAACTTGTCCCCCTCCCAAGTCAAATAAGCCTCTTGTCCTTTAGGAAACGAATCGAGAGAGCCCCAGAAGTTACGTTAATACTAGATTGCTGGGATGGCTGTTTTTTGCTCTGTACAGGCGGTCCTTGGCTTATAACCATTTGTTTAGTGACTGTTCGACAGTAACAATGGCACTGAAAAAAGGGAGTCATGGCAGATATTCATGCTGACAGCTGCTGCAGCATCCCCATGGTCATGTGATCAAAATTCAGATACTGGGCAACTGCTTCATATTTACGACGGTCGCAGTGTGCTGGGATTATGTTATTGCCTGGACTTCATCATGCTGGCTGGGGAATTCTGAGGTTTGAAGTTAAAAAAAACCTCTAGTGTTGGAGCACCCATAACCTCTGGAGGCAAGTCGTTCCACTGATTAATTGAAAAAATTAATTAAACTTAAAAAGATTAGACAACCATTTATTCTGAATGGTGTCTGAGTCTCCTGCTCAAAGAGGGCTTGGTCTAGAGGACCTCTAAGGTCCCTTCCATCTCTGATATTCTATGATTCTATAATTCTTTCTTGTTTTGGCTCAGCTATTTCCATATTCCTGGGCAACGGTTATGGGGAATAGAATAATCAAGTTGCTCTCAGTCAGCTTAGCCTCCATTGAGCAGTGGGGTCAAACTTTTGATTTTTTTTCTATATAATTTTAAGGCCTCTTTTCCTCTCTTTTTAACAATTATTCTGCCTTTATCGATTCGGAAATTAAATTCCATAATAAGGCTTATCTATTTTTATTTTTATTTTTATTTTGTTAATAGGTTTAGGAATAGATTCCCCAGTTCTAAAATATGGCTATGAAAGCTGGACGCTGAATGAGAGAATAGAAAAAGAGAAAAATAAATAGAAAAAGAGAAATTAATGGAATGGAATGGAATGGAATAGAATAGAATAGAATAGAATAGAATAGAATAGAATAGAATAGAATTCTTTAGTCACCAAGTGTGATTGGACCCACAAGGAATTTGCCTCTGGTGCAAAAGCTCTCAAGTGTACATATAAACAGCAAGTAATAGGTCATAGATCACAATAAAGAACAATTGAGAAATCATAAGAAACCAATAGAAGATTATGAATTTGGAAGTGATCCAATAGATCATAGTAGTATAGTAGACTCTAGTATAGCAGACTCTAGAAAGAGTACAGAGAAGAGCAACAAAGATGATTAGGGGACTGGAGGCTAAAGCATATAAGGAACGGCTGCTGGAATTGGGTATGTCTAGTTTAATGAAGAGAAGGACGAGGGGGGACAGGATAACCGTGTTCCAATATCTCAGGGGCTGCCACAAAGAAGAGGGAGTCAAGCTATTTTCCAAGGCGCCTGAAGGCAGGACAAGAAGCAACGGATGGAAACTAATCAAGGAGAGAAGCAACCTAGAACTAAGGAGAAACTTCCTGACAGTTAGAACAATTAACCAGTGGAACAACCTGCCTCCAGAAGTGGTGAATGCTCCAACAC